ACTTACTAATCACATGGTCTTGAATTAAAGGTTTATATTTTGCCGACACAGCCAAATCAGTGAGGAAAGTTTTGGTTCATCGATAACGGTGGTCAAAAAATGTCTCAACCGTTAGAACAGTTTCATTTAACTTTCCAAAAGTATCAACAAGACAAGTGGAGCAGTTTGAATCAAATTTGCCATTCATAAACTACACGCTTCGATGTGCAAAATGCTGCACATACTGATGATGAACTTGGTTTTAGACGCATGAAACAACTGTCCACTTTGAAATGGCCGGAAAGTACTGCTGATTACTGTAAATGGTTTTTAATTGCTCATAAGGATCAGAAGTATTTGCTAACAGGATACGGTATTAAGCTATACAAGAACGTCTTAGTTAAGTTTTGACTGAATCTTTATCCATTTCATCGTGATCCAAAACCATAAAGCTTTCAATATGCTTTCATTAATATTCTACAATGTCGTTTTGTTACTTAAGATGATCTTATCTTCGAATCATGTTTTTGACGCTTTGACTCCATGTTTAACATGCATCTGTTGATGGTGTTACAAAGGGTCATCGAAAAGTTAAGATTAATCTAGCATTCAAAATATACTAGTTTCACGTTTCTGAAGCATCCCAAAAAGATGAGTTCCAATGAAATTGCTGACGTATGAAAATGGTAAAAAGTGGTGATGCAGACCATTTGTTCTGTTCAGGTAAAATTAATTACCAAGCGAGACGATTCACACTGCTTCCGTTAGTCAACAACAATAGTTCAAATGTTCATTATTTGTTCCGAGTCTCCAGTCAATTGCTAATGCAGTTATTTGCTCGACAGTTTTTCAAGCATAGAATAGGAGTCTATGGTGACTCCTTGGATGTTTACTGTTAAAATTAAAGGTCTTATAAATTTTGAGCACAATACTGATTTAATGAAAATGAAGAAGTACCACCGCATCATTGAAGTCACCAAAAACTATTACAAGTGAATGACGTAGACTGACAGAAGTCCACTTTCGAAGAAAATAATCAGCTAAGGAGCAATAACTAGAAATTAATACAGTTGTTAAGAGCAAAAGGATTATTTATGTTGTCGTGGACACATCACAAAAATCACACAAGTAATGCTTCGAAAATGAAGTTGATATCAGAGCTCAGAATCAGATTTACTGGTGGAGACAGTGCATTGACGCAAAACTGGATGGTATCAGGATTAAACCTCTGAAAAGCGGGAAGTCACAAAACGACCGAATCTATTATGAAGATCGTGGATTCACCAGGAAAATATGTCTTTAATTATTCTGGTATAACTGTCTGATATTCTGATGAAAATCCTATCTCTTGGTCCTAAGTTCTGTAGTATTTCATCCAGAGTTGATGAATTAGGTACAAAGGTGAAGTTTGGAAATCTTATGTCTCAGACAAAGGACCTTTTTCTGACTTCTGGTGAAGACCTAGAACAACTCAAGTCTGCCATACTGCATTGTTACTATCAGTGCTTAAAAGCGCAATGCAGACAACGACAAATGATGTCAAAACAGAATAAAAGACAACTGAATGCAGTGTTGAATAACAAGGATGTAATACTAATTCGTTCGCATAAAGGATCGTGCACATTTATTTTAAATCGTGAGGATTACATTAACAAATTATGTACCATTATCTGTGAAGGAATTTTAAAATCAATCAGCCAGAAAGATAGAACGGAGAGCATTGAGATTGAATTGTGAAGAACTTTCAAGAAGTTGAAGGGTGAATCTATTATTACTCCTTATATATATATATATATATATATATATATATATATATATATATATATATATAAGCATCTCAAACCGTCTGGTTCAACCATCTCTCATTTTTATTGTCTTCCTAAGGTGAACAAAGATGGTATCCCTCTGCTACCTGTACTGGATATGTTGAACTCCCCTTAACATTCTACAGCTAAATGGCTCGATGAAATTCTTGAACCGATAAGATCACATCTAAGTTAACTTAGCCTTTTGGACACTTTCGACCTCGTCACCTACGCTGACCGGCAAGCATATAATTTCATTAGATGTTTGATCTTTATTCATAAGTGCACCTTTAGTAGAAACTATCTGTTATGTGATTAGATTACATCGACCTAAGATGTATAAATATTGGAGTGCTAACTAACCGTCTGAAGCAGCTGTTATTGAGATGTACGCTTAATGTGTGGTTTAGATTTAACGATGGCATCTATAATCAAAGCGATGGAGTCATCTTACAGTCTCCATAAGGACCTCTCCTAGCGGATGTCTTCATGGAGAGCTTAGGGAGTGGTCCATTGAAAGAAACAGTCTCGAGTCTACATATGTACAAGTGACATATTGACGACACCATCATTTATGATGACAATTAGTCAACTACCGAGCCTCTTGGAAAATTTAGTGGTTCTCATCCATTTATGCTTTTCGCTATTGAAGAAGAGTTGAAATCCGCAGTTCACCTCTTAGATGTGATGCTGGATAGAAGGGAGGATGGAACGTTAAAAAGAGCGATTTGCCGAAAGCCAACATTTACAGAGCAGTCATTTTTTACACTAAAAGCTGTTACCAGTATAGCTTAATAGAGATAAGTGGTTTTAACACTGCTAGTATTTCAGTAATGTGGTGTCACCCTACCAAATATGAAGACTTATACTGAATTCTGTGAAATACTAAGTTTCCCTTAGAAAAGAACTGGCTCATACACTCCAATGTGTATCATTCTGTCTATTTCATTATATAAATTAAATGTCGGTTGAACGCAGCATCTTCAAATACCAAGCAGGACTGAACAACTGTCAAACGTTTCCTGATTTTCAATGGTTCTGTAGGTGATGTGTTTGTATACTAAGCTGCATCACATAACTTTGATTTTCCAAACTGATCTTGTTAAACAAGAAAGGGTGATTGACTCGAAGAGGGAAAAATGACTGTTGCACTGTTAAGAATAGAAAAATCTTGGTTATATATGCATTATTCCAGTATCCTTAATTTCCATTATCTCAATGCGAAAACTAGTGCTTTCCAAAATTCCAAGTGCAGATTATTTCATCTGTCTTAATGACATTTAATGTGAAAAATCAGATGCTGCTGAATCACCACTGCCTACATATTATATGCCCTTAGCTATTTTGTGAATCGATATTTATTTGAAAATGTTCCGTGACTGAAAAATTGAAGTGGTCTAATGAGTCATACTTACATTCACTTACTTTAGAAAATAAAGTCTGGAACTACTGGCCTCACTTGCTGTCTACTACTTGTTGACAATTTCTTTATTCTATTTGGTTTGTGAAAAGAATGAATAACTTAGTCTCATAGTTAAATCACCTTGCTTGAGAAACATCGTAAAACCAAACAATGATCCAATTCAAAGTAGGATTTCTATGTAACTTCAGGCTATTAGTTCAGGGGCTCGTATATGATAATAAGACTGATCAGTTTTGAGCAGAAATATCAGTGATGAACCACAGGTGCAAATAAATAATAGGGTTTCTGCTTATCCATGTTGTCAAGTAAGTGTCACACATTCTCTATCATTTCTTGATTGATAACATGTCAGAAGGACTTTCGCATTTTATAACCTAGTCGGGAACTAATCTAATGTGAAATAAACGATGAGCAGTTTGATAACAAGGTGTAAAGAAGGTGCTAAACTTTGGAAATAAAAGCATTTATTCTGGAAGACTTGGTAGCAATATATGATATCAAGCATGATATCTATCTATACACAGTTTTGTCTTCAAGCTACTCATAAAATTTCTTTTTCAGAAACGAAACTGAACCAACAACAAAGGCATACCACTACTGAGGCTTTTAAAACCGAAGTCAGAGTTGAGTAAGACACGAAACATATTTTCTAGTGATGTATTAGTTCCATAGGTAATATTTATTTGAAAGAGATTACCAATCAGGGCATTAAAGAACTGAGTTTCTTGTTGTTGTCATTTTTTTGTCTAATATTTCAAGGAGGACAAAATAGTGTAGTGAGGTGTATAAGAAATAAAAATCACTTGAGAATCAGTGAAACTTAATACGTCTAAAGGTCACATCGAACATGCGTTTCACCTAGCTTGGTGACCATATTGCACATCTAACTCATAGAATTCAGTCACCATCAATACTAGGGAGTAGACACATGACACTGATTACACTCCAGTGACTATTCAGGGGAGTTCAGTATTTTAAACATTGCATCATCTTTTTATAATTTCATCAAATGTATGTTAGGCGTGTATATCTGAAATTGCGTGTCGAATGATATTCCGGACTTACTTGTATATCATGTATTTCAGTACCAGTGTATACTTATCTAATAAAGAAATACACTCCATTAAAGTGTTGAAGTTATTCACTGACAATATTCATCAGACTCAGCCTTTTAAACAAAGTGTTGCATATGGCACTGGAAAGGTTAAATTAAAGATGTGTACAATTAACTAATTAGTTATATTTGTTTCAGGTTAGACCACGGATTGACATCAGTTAGAGAACTGATGAAAACCAAAGAGTAATGGACAGCTATTTCATCCTAGTTCAGGAATCATTGGCAGTACGCAACCACCACCAGGGTTCGAATCCAGGACCTTCTGGCTACAAGGCAAGCTGGTATACTATTTAGGCAGTGGAACCCAATTCAGTGGCCTGTGAATTCTAACTTCTACTAATTCGTGATTTTAGCGCAACCAATATCATAGGTGGGAACCCCATCCTCACTCCCGGCCGGATGGACCTCATTGGTCAGGACTTTTCAGTAGCTCTCCAGGCAACTTCGTCGTGTAGCCAGTCACTAGTGGGCATCAGATTAATTTTCAAGAATTAGTACGCCCAGTTTGTGAGTACTACCGACATGTACCAAACTAGAACGAAACAGCTGTCCAGTATTCCCCGGTTCCCAGTGGTTCTCTAACTGATATGAATCTGCGGTCTAACCTGAAACAAACGGAATCCGTAAAAACAAATTCTCTATGGTTATTTATAATTTTTTTTTAGATAAATAAATTGGCAAAGATCACAATATCACTGAAATCATCATTAAGAATTAGTGAAATATAAATCAGAAATTAAAAGCGACAATTTGACAGAATGAAAATAGAATGATTATTTACAATCCCAGTCAGTGAATAGCTCAATGGAAAGAAATTTATATATTTGTATAGGTCATCTGTGTTTAGTACACACTATCTGTATACTAGCCATTTAAAAAAGACACAACAATGAACTAGCCTAAGAAATTTTCTTCCTCACATTGTATTCATCTGTTAGGACTAGTTGTCGACCTCATTCATTTTATATTGACATTCAATTCACTACGTTTATCACACAAATGATATTTACCTTGTCATTCACTGAATAAAAGCTAATAGTTTTTGAACTTGTAATTATAGTATGGTGGTGTGATACAGCCAAAAGGTTCCAACGGAATATTATCCTCACAGTTAGAATCATTGTATTTGTTGGTGTTAACGCCTGAATACTATTCCCACAGTCCAGTAGTGCATTATCAACAGAGTACTGTAGGTATGTTTGACCATTCTATTTTTCGTGTCGTTTAGTATAAACCGAAATCTCAGGCTGAGTGATTGGTTAAAGAGAATAAACAGTATAGATATAAATAGCTGTTCAGTCACTTGAAAATATGATTTGGCTTTCGTATCTTGTTTTCTGCTGTTGCAATAGTATACATTAGACTGTATCCATCGCATATCTGGATGAATATCATTATTATAACCACAACAAATATTTTATAAGCGTAACAACTTGAGGAGAATTCACTGAAAAGAATGTTTTCATTCAAATAGAGTCTTATTAAAATTTGTAACTTGACTGAAAATAATCATACTGGTAAGATTGTCAGAGGGGAGGAGGAGGCTATGCGCTAGATAAAATTCATCCAATTTCTTTACGCTTATAGTACTCCAGTTTACACTAAAAAATGATAAAAAAAATGAGGTGGAGAAGATTACACAAATGTGAATAGTGACTGAGATCATAATACTATTAATCATATAGTAATAGGAACATATAATCATACCTTATTTCATTACATTAAAATTACTTTCTGAACTTAGTGATAAGGCGTTCACTGAGTGTGTAATTATCTTTCAATCATACCATTAACTTATCCCGTAAACTGGCATGATCTCTTTCATTTCACCTGTTTCCTTCATTTCTCGAATGAATCACACGAAAAATTGCATAGATGTCGAATAGGATTTGTCACCCACTTAACCCCCTCAAGATTACACCTTTAATCGTTTTCACAAAAAAACGGATAACTCTCCAGGTAAGAATATCAGTAACCTGTACTCCGTTAACAAAGGGCTAGCTGGAAAATACAACACACTATAACTGGTATCTGAGTTTAGTGAGCTCGCAAGTAAATATGTTTGTTTCGTTTGAATAAAACTGTATGTAACATACTTAAGCTGGCCATTTTATACCACACAATCGATCCTAAATATCATAAAAATGAAAAACTAACTTCATCGAATTCCAGACGATGCCCTCCAAATTACTTTAGTAGACACTACTGTAAAACAAGACACATAAAAGAACGGTATTGTTTCCAATTAGATATTCAGGCTATATTTCAATCTACATAGCTTTACATATGAAATATTAACCAATGAAGGTGAGTGAGTTTGCCGATCAAAAGTAAGGAGTTTTAGATGTTGTGAATAAGTCAGTAATAGTGACGGTTATAATGACCTGAAATCTATGGGATTCCTCTGTTTTCTACTTAAAAATAAAGAAGTAAGTTGTACACACCTATTTTCGTCTTCAGATGTGTCCTTTTTACAACCATGAGTATTCATAACACTAAGAGAGTGGCAGATGGACCGTTAGATAACATTTTTATGTAACACTTCAAAAGAATACATCGGCTAGTCACAAACATGAAATAAAATGGATATTTTGTGTAATTGTGCTCTCTGATCCGAATGATTTAATTGAGAAGCTGTGATTGTCTTACTAGACATCCTCATCACATACTTCAATATGAAGTTCCTATTGAAGACTTCTGTTTGCTAAGAAAAGCTTACTTACTTTTAGTGTAAATTTTCTTTTGTGTTTAAGTTACATTTTTAGATAATGGAAACGTCGAATAAGAAATTTCAGTCCAAAAGAAAAATTTGCAAATATTTTAACTGTTTGGATTTAATGTGTGAACAATTTTGCCCTACTGATAAAGTTTATAAGTAGGCAAAACCAAAACATCGATGTTTCTTTACCTCACTTTAGATGCCAAATATATTCAGAATAAAAATCTAAGATTTGTGAAAATAACTTCATTCAGCAAAAAACCATTTAACCTGAGGCAATTTCTGTATATTCATCATAAACCGGTTAGCAAGGGTATTTAGACACCGATACTATGTTTAGTGGAACAGGAAAGAGATAAATTGTTTAATTGGTGGATGGTGAATAGCCGGGGAATCCAGGATACTCATTTCGTCCTATTTGGGACTTGTCATTTGGATGTACATGTATTCCTTTGTGAGTAATAGGCGACATGAGACCGAGCGACTCGGTTCAATCAATCGACGGGAAAATCTAAATTAAATTTTGATGGATTTGTGTTATCTGAGCTGGATGGTCTATTTGCGAGGCTTTCATTGCCCTACTAGGCAACTTTAAATTGAAGTATGCTCTGAAAATGTTGCCTAGCAGGGCAATGAAAGCCTCGCAAATAAACCATCCAGCTCAGAGAACACAACTACATCACAATCACCCACCTGAGTTACAAATCTTCTCCATTATATCTAAATTAAATTAGATAAACTGTTTATTAAATGCTACTACAGATAACCAAAGTATTCCAAATTTCCGTTAAACAATAGTTGGTGCAGATATGGAAGTAAAATCATCAGCATGGTGTTATTTACATCACTTGAGAATACCCGGTGTAATCGGCATAAGAATGCTAACTACTTATTTTGTTAAGTAGTGTAGGAATGAATACAATAAAGACATTTTCAAATATTTTCCTTTTTATGTGAGTGTTGGTAATGATAATTCATCATGTGTAGTACATCAACAAATTACTGTATTCGCATTAGATGGTAAGTACGTGTTGATTTTCAAGTAAATAATAGTAAAGTGGTAGGTGTGAGAGAAATGTCACAAGGGTGGTTACATAATGTCAGTGAGTCAAATGATGGCCAAAAGAGTAATCTTCTAGTTTCTTTGTGGTTACCGCATGTAACCATATTCATGTCATTAAGCAGTTATTTATTTAGTTTTAGACTTTAGCCAGTCTAAGTGGTGTTCATTATTCAGTAGAATTTTAGATATCTTACTTTTATTGACAAGGAGTCTATGTTGTTTGGAATTAGCTGCTTTTGCTTCTAAGTAAGTATATGAATTGGCATATTCAAAGCATTTATGTATTCAGAATCCACTATAACCTGACACACATCCGTAATAATGGTAACTGCCACCGTGATGTTGAGTTTTACTCTATATTTTTAATAATTTTTGGCCTCATCAGGTAGCATACCAGACAGTGATCGCTAAGCATTATTTTCGAGTTTCACTGAGGCAGGTAAACATCTGTGCTATTGATTTCTTCTCTGAATGCATTTATGTGTACACTCTCCGTCTCAGCTAAAACGTGGAAACTAGTGCTATTGTTAAACAACTAAAAGTTGTTGACTGATAAATCTTCTGTTAGTTACTAACATCATGGATGTCCATCTACCGAATGGTAGGTGCTGAAATTACCTGATACTGGAGACTCAAACTTCTTCAAATTTCCTACATTATAATCAAGTTTCAAAACAACTTAGTGGTGCATAATACTACTGTCTTAAAACGGAGAGTATTCCAGTTATCATTAATATAAGATAATGCATTATTGTTTAGTGGTTCAAGTTGACGGTTGCTTTACTGTTCAGTGTATGAGACATATACCTGATGGACAATCGGTTGTCATGTCTATTCTATAAGTGCTTCAAGTCGAAAAAGACAAGTAAACCTACTATATAAGAGATGTCTTGTAAGCCGCCAGTCAAGCAAAGTTGATCCAACTTTTTGAGTAAATGAAATGCTCAATGAGAACAACGAGTCCGGTATTAACAGCTTACATTTGGAAAACTATGAACGTTTATCAAAAATTGTCGGATTATTACTCAGTTAGTCCAAAAAACCATACCCTGCTTAATCTACACCTAACGAGATTCTATCTTCCACGCACATTAAAACAACTTGCGGATCTATCTTAAGGAGATCTATCCTTTTCAAGTAGGGTGAAATGCCAAAAATCTTTATGCACAGGTTTGATGTGAAATCGCAAAGAGATGAAGGGAGCTGATATCACTGATGAATAGCGCTCCTTCTAGATATTTCATCATACAATTGACGGTATACTCACATAAATGTTGGATTATATAACCTTCAGTAAAAAGGTATATTTAACAAAGTTTTCTTTCAATAAAAGATAGCCATAAAATCTCTTGATTGACAGAGTTAAAAGACTCCTTGAGGTAAATAAGATATGATCTAGCCTCTGTAGTTATGTCCGTCTCTTATAACAAGGGAGTTTAACGTGTTCTTTTTCAGTTACCTTAATTTTGATTTTAGTCAGAATGCTTGTAAAAGGAAGCTAGGGAAAGCAAACGGTGTAATAAAAAAACCGCTTCAGGTATTTTTCTGACTATGTCAATATCGACAATAAGTGAGAATCCTGTTATAAGGTTTAAATGTTTGACATCCAGTAGTACGGTATTGTTTACTAGATGATGCGTCATACACATCGACTGTCCATTATCATGTTAATATCATGACGTCAGTTTCATATAATTCTATAATCATTTTAAAAAGGTGAGGTGTGATAGTTAAATACACTTTTTCTCCGATAAATATTTGATTTACATTACATGCCATATCAGACAGACGAACCGGCGCGCAACTTAACCAACCATATCCTATATAAATAACATTCACTAGTGTGTTTTTTTATTTTGGAGATGTCAGACAATGTATTATTCCGCATAGTTTAACTACTTATAATGATAGTGAGATCGAATTATCAAACTGCGAGAGTAATCCATTCATAACTGTTTGGCTTAACATTTACTAAAGCTTAATCAACTTGAATTAAACAACTATATATGATACTGGATAGAGTAATTGTTCTGAAGTTGAAATTAAAATAAATAAGTATTAATAATAATAATAATAATAATAATAATAATAATAATAATAATAATATATTCTCATTTTGTACATGAGGGACGCCAGTTTACAGGCATCATCAATATGATAAATTACACATATGATTAGTAAGCATATTTAATAATAATGATTTAATAAAATACATATCTATTCCTACCTGTGTGGAACACACCAATTGTACAGGCATGGATAAGTATTATTTAAACTACATATATTTGGTTTAAGGTTAAATTACATGGGTGCTGTCATTTTAGTCTTTGGTTTGTGGGAACAATATGATAACTAGTCATTCGATGGAGCACATCAAGGAATATAGAAATACTGTATTCGCATTAACAAAAAAAACCCAAGTATGTTTTGGATGGCTTACAAATACTTGGGGAAAAAATAAAGCTTGAAGTAATTCCCCCATATAAATTTGGTGTGTACGGCATCGAGTATTATTCTTGATTTATATCCAAATTTGGTAATAATTTAAAATAAGTGATACACTTGTATAGTTTTGTCAGCATTTTCATCGTAACATCACAAGTGAATTGTACTCAATGTAGACTAATAATAATGATAGTTTATATTTTCATATAAACGAGTGTTTTCAAGAAATGAAGGCTATTTTTACAGATACGATCAGTTATGTCGTAAGTTACAATCGCGAAGTATTATAAATCAATACTTTTTAATGGTACAAGGTATATCCCACAACTGTAATCCAGGATGCGTCATGGGGGAAGGTAATGCGTAATTCACGAAGGAATTGTAAGATATGGGACCAATAATGTTTGCAGATCATTTGTCATTGTAAATAATAAAATATCCACATTTTTCATTCTCATTTAAAAAACTCAAATGAAAGCTAAAATGGTGAGACAAAAAAGAAGACAAACAACAGCAACGCAAAAGAAAGCAAGAGGAGTCCTTAAGGAGTGATTAATAAATATATACATATATATTCTGTTTAGAGATTCATCGTGCTGTGAAGTCAAAGCTACTATACGGATCAGAGACTTGGCGCGTCATCAATAGCATCTCAAACAAACTACAGACCTTCATTAACAGTTGTCTTCGCTCAATACTCAAGATCAGATAGCCGACCAGAAAAGATCAGCAGCAGGGATCTCTGGCAATGAGCGAACCAACCCATCGGGAACCGATTGTGAAACAGATAGGCAGGAAGAAATGGAGATGGATTGGCCATACGCTGAGGAAACTATCAAGTGACATCACTAGACAAGCCATCGTTCGAGTGTAACCCGAAAGGGAAGCGGCGAGTTGGTCGTCAGTGGAAGGGTGACTTGGAAGAGGTCATGTGAAGAGGAGATGAAAGCATGTGGGCAGACTTGGAGCGGGGTGAAAAAGTTGGCAGAAAACCGAAGGCAATGGAGACACGCAGCTGAAGACCTATGCTCCTCTAGGAATTAAAGAATATAATAATAATAATAAAATAATATAATATTCTGTTTAGTAACTATGGTTATTTTGGTACACTAACTCACTAGTCCCGTTATGCTAACTTTTATATTATGTGTGAACTAATATTACTGTTCTGTGTGAAAATGCTTATCGTGTAGTTCCAATAATGTCAAAACTTATGATTGTGGTTTGTTGTAACTACACGTTTTATGAACTCAAAATATCTATGTAGGGTGAAAAAGAGGGTGTAAGAGTCAGACGTAGAAGTGCTTTGTCATCTTTGAGCAGTCTCGTGACTGAGGAGATGAACACTGGAAGTGTGTTTGCATCACACACATTAGCTGGTAGTCTATTCCAAATGACTGAAAACTTATTTAAGAAGTTGTACCGCATGTAAGTCTGACAATGCTGTATAGCAGCTAGGTTGTGATGATTTCTAAGATTGTAACTGATGACAGTGGTAGGTTTAGTTATTGGCTCGGAGGAATGCAAGAGAAGATTAGTTAGCTTGTAGTAAAAGATAAGGTTTAGCTTAAGACGTCTTTTCCAGAGTGGTTCTAGTCTCAGTCTGTCGCATCGCTCATAGTATTCCAGACCACTTTCTAAACCAAGAGTTCTTGAGGTAAACTGCCGTTGCACTCCCTCTAATTTAAGCTTGTCATTTTGTCTGAGTCCGCTAAGAATAAACGGGTAGTATTCTAAAATAGATCGGACACATACTTTACATAATAAAACCCTAGTTTCACAACAAAAGAAATTGCGTGTTATGCATCCTAGCAGCCTTCGTGTTTTACGTCTGGCATAATCAGTCTGTTCAGAGAACGTTAGGTCACTAGAGTATCTGATACCGAGATCTACGACTGAGTTGAACTTGGCTAGTTTTCGCCCATTTATCTCAAGAGTTAGATCAAGGTTAATGTTGCCGATACAAATCCAGCCACATTTGTCAATGTTAAAATTTAGGCAGGATTCAGCACACCATGTTGCGAGACTACTTAGTTCAAGATGTATTTTAGTAACCATATCGCTTAATTCATGAGTGTAGCAGGAGTAGATGACTTTGAGTTCGTCAGCATATAGGAATGGTTTACCTGAGGTGAAGCAGTTGCAAAACTGTTAATGTAGACTGTAAATAAAAGTGGCCCTAGGACACTACCCTGCACAACCCCACTTGAGATCTGCCTAGGATGAGACAATACAGATCCGACTTTGGTTATTTGTATCGTGTTGCTTAGAAACGATTTGAACCAGTTCAGTAATGGGTTGCGAATTCCACATGAGTACAGTGTTGGTTTGTAGGGATTTGATTGATTACAGAATTTCATCATGAGCTGACATTAGTTAGAGAACCATTGGAAAACCTGGGAGTATTGGACAGCTGTTTCGTCTTAGTTTGGGACTTTTCATCAGTACGAACCCACCACCAGGGTTCGAACCCAGGAACTTCTGGTTATAAGGCGAGCTCGTTTACCATTAAGCCACTGGGACCCGATCCAATGGCCAACCTGTGAATTCTAACTTCTGCCAATTCACGACATAGCGCGAACCTTAGCTAATGTCTTCGGAGAGTATTTGTCCTCACACCCGACCTGTTGCACCCTACTGGTCACGACTTCTCACTAGAACCCCTACCTGAATAGGGCAAGTCGCTAGTGAGCATCTCACTGATATTCAAGTGTTGGTTTGTAGGGATTTGATTGGTTACAGGATTTCATTATTTGCTTTTCAAAGAGCGTGTAAATTCGTTTAATGAGCACGGTGGAGGTGATTCATTTTAGGAATTTTTGAATATTTCACAGAGTTGGTCAATAAGCGTTCCGTTCACTATCTTTTACCTTTATCCTTTAGTAATACATAAAAAGGATTGGTTTTAAAGTATCTTTGTTTGGCAATAAACGAAATGGTGAAGCTAGTAGACTTTAGAGAGAAAAGTCAAGAAGTTCAGGAAAGATATCTTTCTTGTGACTCTATTCTCAAAGGTTGTACAATTGCTTTTTATGCATGAATTCGCGTGGTTACAGTTATCATTTAATTCAACATGATAACAAGGATAGGCTAAAGGAAACAATTCTCAATTAGGTGTGAAATTCTCAGGTTTAATGAAAGATGAATATTTCGATCTAGAAGACATCTACAAAACAGCTATTATAAAATAGTTGAATATGTTTATCTTCCTGCTCAAACTGTTCATGTTTTGAATTATTTTTTATCCGTTTATAAGCTATGTACTTCGGTGTATCATTTTGTATTTGTTTGTTCGAATTACGTGGTAGAAAGGAAAAGAAACCACCGGTAATTAGTGTAATGGCAATATTTCATGATTATTAATCCCAACAAAGGAATAGAGCAGGATTTAATATAGACATCAATGGGTATGTGGTTCAATGATTCAAGCACTCAACTTTCAGTCAATTGGTCCCGGGTTCAAATCTCACTTTACCTACTTCAGCCTGGAGAGCTGGCTGGATGTGATTCATGCCTGTTTATCTTAGGCATGAGAAATCAAGTAACTGACGAAGAAAGTTGCAGGTTCGCCAGTTTTCGAAATCGCATTCCGTAACGATTTCTGTAGATGCTGTGTTCCACAACATACACCAATTCTTTGATTTCTGACAGGCATTCACAGAGGAAAACATAAATCATCATAATGCAAATTTTTAATCACTTAACTGTACATCTCACACAGTATCTTCAAACACTTGTTGTTGTTCAAACGTCTAAGTTACATAATGGACTTCCCGGATTCTCTGAGCCTTTCGGCAGATATCGTTTCACCGCCTATATTTTCTGTGTGAATTAGTATATTTTTATTTATTTATTGTTATTATAGCTTGATTCCACACAGTCTTATTTTGGTACAAGTGTGGAATTTTCAGCATGTGATACCGGTAGCCCAAATTTAGCAGGCCAACCATTAATATCAGGTGCGCTTCGGCCGGGGATCAAACACCGGACCATGTGCATGGTCCGCGAGAGTCCTAACTGCTGTGCCACCGACGCAGTTATTAGAGTCATAGCTAAACTAATTACGGGAACTTTTGTATACCCATGAATGAGCTTTGATGTCATATAGTGGTTGCACAAGTGTTTCCTCTGACTACCAAACAAACGATAAAGTCGAATGTTCTCAAACACTTTCCCAGTCTGCTGATGATTATTATTGTTACACCTTCTGGCACACAGTTTAACAGCTGTAATGAGAGGTGTATTACAATAGCAAACTGGTCTATGCATTTTATTGTTTCTTTTTTCTATTCCTAACTGTAAAGGGATTTTTCTTTTGTTTATTTGAATGTCCGTATTTCCCAAGATGTAAACTCCTGTTCACGTGACAACATACCATTTTTCTTCCTAGTTCGCGTATGCCTGCTCTTAATTCCTGTTTAATCAATCAATAACTAACCAGATTGAGTATTCAAGAGAAACATTCATCCTCGATGTTAATTTTGTTTTCTAGCTAAAAATTAAATTGTACATCTATTCCTAACATATAAAACAAAAAATGTATGGAAACTTCACTAGGAAGATGGATGGTTTTAACAATAAAAATGATTGTACAACTAAAGGTCAAAAAAATTTTATGGAGTTAACCAATTAGACAGTAAGTACCACACATGCTTGAAACATAAGTCTGAACTTTCATTTCAACCTTGGTCATAACGTTGTTACATTGAAATCAGTCAGTTAAAATGTACCCCTCTCATGCAGTATGAAAAACAGACAAATAAGGTCAGAAGTTTCGTTACTTGGTCTCTAGCCTAATTATCTTTGTATCCTCAACTAATGTATCGTTAGTGTGGCTAATAGTCATTTGGTATGAAACAGTTTTTAAATAAAAAAGCACGATAGAGGTCATGTTTAATTTTTCTTTAAATTAAATTTAAGATTTTCCCATCGATTGATTGGACCGAAGTGCTCGGTCTCAGGTTGACATGTCGGCTTCTTCTGCAGATGCTTCGCGATGTCTGGATATGTAATTAGAAGTTGACCGGTGGATGGTGACTAGCAGTGGAATCCAGAATGCACATTTCGTCCTTTTTGGGACTCGTCATCTGGATGTGCCTGCATTCCGCAGTGGGTGATGATGTTCCCACCGAGGATCGAGCCCGCTGCTCATAGTTTCAAACGCCAAATTACGTCAATTACACGCGCAGACATCGTCGAAGCATCTGCACAAGAAGGCGACATTTCAACCTGAGACCGAGCACCTCGGTTCAGTCAATCAACGGGAAGATCTAAAATTGAGTTAAATAATATATATATATATATATATAATATATATCCCGTTGCACAAGTGGTGGCTCTCTTGGTACATGTGGTCTAGTGGATAACGCTTTGGCGTTCAAAACTATGAGCAGCGGGTTCGATCCTCGGTGGGAACATCATCACTCACTGAGGAATGCAGATACGTCCGGGTGACGAGACCCAAATAGGACGAAATGTGCGTCCTGGATTCCACTGCCAGTCACCATCCACCAATTAACTTCTAATTGTGTTATCTTTTGTCGAAAGAGAATTGCTATGGAGTAAGGGAAAGATGCTGACTAGCTAACGGGGAAATTAAAATTACTTTGTTGTAGCAGTCATCACTAGTTGTATTGTAAAGAGACTTACGCGCTCTTAATCGATACAGAGTAAACTGCCTTACCTAACACTGGAAACCATTTGCATGCATTTGTTGCCTTTACAACTTAGGAAAGTGAAAAATTTGCTGAACACAGTTTCCCTTCATTAATTTATCTTCAGACGGTTGGATAAAATAAATATCTCAATTGTGAGAAGTCTTTCCAACACTAGATATGAGCACAGAAGTTGAACTTCGACTTCATGGGCTTCCATCGCTATTATGGATTTAATACGCAATAGGTTGAGTTCACATTAACAACAAGTCTCAGGATGCATGGATCAGTATTCCAGTGCTCTCTGGGTTTCAATAATTTTCTAAAGAAAACAACAGCACAGGATGTCTTCAATATATCTCAGTCTCGGTTGGCTAATTAGATTACAAAAGAAATAAGAAGATACGGTGCATAAATGTTAAGGATCTTTGAGAGCCTATTGCTGATGGGAATATTGACAATATAATAATACTTGATTTTAGATTCGAAGTATACTGAGATTCGTCTCAATGTTGAGAATTTATCTTTAATATGAACAAAAATACCACGACACCTGTGTACTGCGCATTGATTTAATTCTTCTTTTCTCAAAAGCGCAAACAAATACCTTCACATTTTGCTGAGGACACATTGCAATATGATGCATGAAATTATTTCATCACATAGATAGGCAGACAAACATTGTCACAACACAAGATTATTTATGTAACTAACCGGATAGACTTACAAATTAAACAACCAGTGAGTTTACTGGATTTCTCTTCATTATTTGGAACAAAGTTACTCGCTACTTCATAATAGTTAAATAATTATCCCTCGAAAAATGCCGACAAGACTAAACGCGCCTAAATTTTATCCCACATACACTATATAGAATACTGTTGATATGACAGAAGTAAATTTAAAACAGACTAACTATTTCCACCAGGTAACTTGGTGGTCATTACTGATTGCATTTAATTATTGATTCATGTCAGTTTCTTTGATAACAAAGAGATAAGCAACACTGGTACAGACAATTTTGACCTTTATAATTTGCTTCTATACAATAAAAATTATGGCATGCGCGCAGTAAACAAAGAAAACACGGTCTGGAGGAGATCATATATGTCATACACATAGAATAAAAGCTCCAAGTTAGACATATTTGAATAAGGATAGGATAGACAGGCATAATTAATCAATAATCAGCTATCTCTGTATATTTATCGATAAGATGACCATAAATTCATGAAAATCAAACAATACGCATCATGAATAATGGGGATAAGATAAACTGGTGAAAAATCTATTCGATAAAATCCCTGAGAAGTGTATATTCCATCAGGCAAATGCAAAATGGAAATATTAGTATACATAATTGTAAATAAAAGTGACCAAAACTGGGAAATGATGAAAAAGACGACAGAATGGGAATCATATTCTCACTAATGAATGAAATACCTCTCTTAATGCAAGATAGGAGGAAATAAAACAATCGATAAAATATCAAGGAAGTAAACAATAATTGTAAGTAAGTAGACGAACAATTGGTGCACAATATACAATCTTAAATTCACTTGTTGATTATTATTATTATTGTTTGTAAACAAAAAGCTCAATATTCAAGAATACTTTGTCATAAAATTCAAGTGAAAATCTTTCAAACGATCCATCACCACCTTCATCTCTTCAATTCTAGGAAGAATTGTAATTCTGTAACAGAGTAAAAAAGGTATTACACAAGTTACTTGGTAAAAGAGAAATAGCTTACAGCAAAAGCAAATGGAGTAAGTGGGAAAGCAAAGCAAATGAGGAAGACGGAAGTGCCGTCCACGGAAGTCGTCAATTGGATATTCTTTAAGGGTAAAACAAGTAACTAAAGATTGGTTCATTTCAATGTATAAACTATTCATAGGCAAAAACACAGTGTTTCAAGCGTTAAGTGAAGAACTATAATCCAGTCAGACACTTGGTCGAATGGCGAAACGTTTCTATAATTTGAGTTACAGTTATGTTTCATTCTTTGCTCTTCTCTTACATGGTATTTTAGACGATCTACGGATTAAGATTATAAATATCCAGACTATAGATGTTGTAAACTCTTGGAATAATTTGAGTGCCGAGTAAAACTGAAGCATTTAAGATAATCCCAGAATGTTTAGGAAATTATTATTGTTTCTAGTTCTTAGAGGAAAATAGGGATTCAGCCGCAAGTCTCCATTGCGTTCGGTTCTCTGCCAACGTCTTCACCTGGCTCCACGTCCGCCCACATGCTTTCATCTCCTCTTCACATGACCCCTTCATGTCACTCTCGCACTGACGAACAACTCTCCGCTTCCTATGTGGGTTCCACTCGAGCAATGACGTGGCGTGTGATTTCATTTGATGGTCTTCTCAGAGTATGGCCAACCAATCCACCTCCATTTATTCCTGCATATTTGTTGCACGATCGGTTTCCATTGGGTTGGTTCGCTCCCAGAGATCCCTCACTATTGCTGATCTTTTCTGGCTGGCCATGTGATCTTGAGTATTGAGCGGAGACAGTTGTTGATAAAGGTCTGTAGTTTGTTCGAAGTGCTCTTCATGAATCGCCATGTCTCTGATTCGTATAATAGCACTGACTTCACATTGGAGTTTGAAAACCCGCATCTTATTTTTAATGCTGAGTGCTGTTGACCTTCACACAGGCTTGAGAGTGGTGAAAGCTTGCCTTGCTTTCTCGATCCTCGCTTTGATATTCCCATCAGTCCCGTCCGCCTGCAATTAGAAAGATGCTTCTCAGGTATGTGACGGAAGTTGTTCCCTTCAGATTCCTCCCATATATGCTGACTGTTGTTTGTTGTCGCTGTGGCCATTGTTGTTGATCAGGAATCTTGGCCACCTCTGGTTTTGCTATGTCCACCTGAAATCCTATCTTTGATGCTTCTTCTGACAACTTGTTGCCTTCCACTTGCATATCTTTTAGTTTGTGGGAAATCAGACATGTATCATCGACGAAGACCAGATCCTCCAAGTTTTGTGTGGGTCCATTTTATGCCTGTTTCCCCGCAGCTCACTGTCTGTCGCATTATCCATTCTACTGCCCTCAATCAGGAAAATCATTGGAGATAGCGGGTAGCCTTGGCTTACTCCCGTCTTCACTGAGAAGGATTCCGTGAGTTTCCCGTTGTGGATTACTTGGCATACAGCACTGTCGTACAGCTGCTGGATGAGATGTATAATTGTTGGTGGTACCCCGTAGTATCGAAGTAGTTGCCCAATCACCTCTTGATAGACACTGTCGAAGGCCTTTACCACAGGGAATATATATATATATATATGCAGGTGCCTAGTAGCCATTGTTTAACGGACACTAAATGTTTCGGCACATCTATATATGAACTGATTAATGAAAGTTCATTGAAAACAAATACAAAATAATTTGAATTAACTTGCCTGAAGTGCCAAGTTCCTGGTGTCTGACCAAAACCAGAACCAGGCACAACACATACTCCATGTTCTTCCAAAAAACCCAAACAATACATGAAATCTGGTTCCATACCTTTCGACTGAAATTTTTTAAAGAAATAAGCAAACCATTGAAAAATTACAACAGAAACAAAGAAAAAAGAAACATCTTGTTATTTAACGAAATATTTCGGGAAAAATTTTTTGTTTGTTAGATTTTGTCACAAACCAGCATCAGTTAGAGACCACTAAGAACCATGAAGCACTGGATAGCTGTTTCGTTCTGGCTCGGGGCTCGCTAGCAGTGCACCCGACCAAGACCTTCAGGCTACGAGGCCAGGAGCGTTGAGAATTTCAGCCACTAAGGCTGAGATTCAATGACCCGTGAATTCCAACTTTGTAGATTTGTAATATACCACTACCTTCGACCAGTGGCTTCGATGAGCATCCACTACACCTTGGGGCACGGTGAACCCACTGACCATGTCTTCTCACTACAGCTTCAAGACACTCATCGAGTGACCATTAGTAAGCTGAAGATTGACATCTAGATTGTGGGAATTTTGGAAATTTAGGTTTCATCAAAAAGGTTAGACCCCTGGTGGGGTTGCAGGTGAGGACTACTGAAGAGCCCAAACTAGGACGAAGCAGCTGTCCAGTACTCCTTGGTATTCACTGATCTCCTAATGATATTGTTTTATGACGAAGTCTAACAGTTTAGATTAATCCAAATCCCCACAAAACATATAATCTAAAATTATCTTGTTTTTATTTTCTAAAGAACCCTTTTATTTTATTGTGTAACTATCATTTTTTTTTCTTTTGAACAATCTTCAATAAGGAAAAAGATACAATACTCCTTTATAAGCCTATTCACCATAAGTGGCACAGTGGTTAGGATACTTGCCTACCATGCACATGGTCCGGGGTTCGAGCCCACGCTGACGCACACCCGATATCTATGGTCGGCCTGCGAATTTTGGGCTACCGATATCCACGCTGAAAATTCCATACTTGTACCAAAAATACGGTGTGGAATCAAGCTGTAAATAAAAAAATAAAAAAACTGACTTTCAACTTCTTGGCCGGTGGCATAAAGACGGATTCAGAGTTTTAGCTACTCTCTGGGAGTAAATGTTGCTTGACAGTCATATCTAGACAGTAGGTTTCTAAGTTAAACATAAAATTTTCAGAAGAATGGATCCTGAACAAAGAGTAATGTTTTCGACAACTTCATCATCAGGCTCTACAGTTATACATACATTATAGTGAATGAATGAATTAGTGTTATGAACAAAATTAATGTTTAAATAATATCGAGTCAATAATAATATTAAAAGATAACAGTTCAGTAGCATCGACATAAAAATAAGATGAACGACAGAAAAATTAGGAAAGATAATATTACAAATTCATGAATTTATAGTCTCTACTGAAGGCTAGGGCAGTAGTAGGAGCTGGACTTGCTTCTTTTGCACACAGAGCACTGGTTGTTTGAGGTGAATTGCAATAGCCTCAGCTGTTTGGAGCGTGCGGTGCTTCGATGATTTTGGCAATTTGTTTTGTATTTTAAATTGTATTTGCACATGATTTAATGTTAACATATGTGTGGACTATTGCATCAGAAATACCTTGGTTGGTACTCCTATCGTAATGGCACTAGTTTAAACTGCTTATTACAAGTATTTTATATGATTACCAATTCCTGAAATTATATTCATTGCCTATCACTTGCGTTTGTCTTTTAATGAGATAATCTCTATTTTGTTTGTTTCCTTTCTATCAGGTTAGGCGGCAGTTCTGTTTTGAAGAAGTGGTAAGGCGTTTCGAAGTCACCACAGTTAGTCTGTTTGATAGTAAATGGTGCAGAACTTCAGAGTGGATATTTCGTACTTAGTAAGACCTCTCAGAATAAGCGTAGCTCCATAGAGTTCGTTTATTACTCCCACTAAAACTACAATCCAGTAACTTTTATTAGACCGTTGACTGACACCACGTGCAAGGCTGTCGACCTGAAGCCGAGTGGGAGAAGAGAGACGAGTTGGGCGCCCGAAGAAGGGGGAAATTAAGGCCTACAGACGGTCGCGCAGCGAGCTAAAACAGACTGCCATAAATGACATTATGTTACTGAAGCTCCATGTTTCAGTAGGAACCAAAGGAACGAGCACTATAATAATAATAATAATAATAATACTTTTTATTAAACAGTGTTTTCCACTAAGCTATTCAGTCATAACTGTCGTATATGTTTTCAACAGTTGTTTGAAAAACAATTAACTTTGGAACTGAGAACCTAGTCAAACATTTAGTCAGGAAAGGGACTAATTAAAATTTATTCTGTGCGAACTTCGACTCAGAGAGTAACAGACAACTGTTCGATTTTATCCATCAAAAAAGCCTCCTTCCTCCTAGAATTATGTACTGTTTTATCATATACATTTCCTCAGGATTGTTATTTGTGCATCTGAATCTTCTGTGTGCACACATTTTTTTTAACCATCTCAGTGTGTATTACTCATAAACTGGTAATTGTAGAATGTTAGCAGCGGGCAGCCAATATTTGTGCATGATTGCGCCCATCACTGATATAGATTTGGAACTATAAAATGATATTCAATGGTTACATTTCACTGGATGTGAATCCCCTTTCGATAAACTGACATCCATCTGACTACTGGTTCATAGGCGTTTATTTCCGCCACCTCTCTACAGCTCTGCTTATCTATAGCTATGCTAAGTAAACTGTGTGCACGCATATGAGACACAGTGCTTATAAGTGGGCTGAGTAATCCCATGAAGTCAGGCTTGTGAGTTTGAATGAACTTTCAGAGCACAACCCCACGGAGATTATATACTTCCACTGTTTTATTTTATCTCGTTACCTTCTCGTTATTATTATTAATTTCTAAAAACCATTTCTATTACAGTTATATTTTACCTGAAAACGAAATAGTATGGATTGATTTTTTGTATTTTATACGACCTGCAGAATATTTATTTACAGCTCATCTGATCTTATTTCATCGTAGGACGATGCAAACAATACCAGAAGCATCCACTCACATTTCTTTTTCCTCTAACTCTGTTACAAGGGATGAAATATCCGCTTTGTTTCGTAAACCAATCAACATATGACCTTATTTTCTTAATACTTATATGGGATAATGGATTCGACTATTTTAATTTTAAAATAAATCACTGGATTATTGATCAGTTCACTGGCAAAAGAGGATAGTTATGTACGTAGGGATAAATGAATTCTACAGCTGGCACGTGATTATATTTTTACGAAAACAAAGAATATTTCTACGAATAGCAAAGTTTATTCGGTAACAGATCGTGACATCCGGTTTAAGTATAAGAATCAAGCAAAAGTATGGGGAAAATACACTATAACTCAAATTCGTTTTCTTTAATATCATTGAGATTAAAAGTATGTGTTTAGTGGAGTGATTTATCTCGATTAGGAGGAGCCTAGCCTAAGAAAGTGTTTTATGTTGACATCTATGATATTAAGTTCGGTTGTAATCTGACCTTTACTATAATTTACTTTTGAGAATTCTCAGTTACTGTTTGACTTAATCATCAAATTGCCTTTCATACAGTTCGAGGTGAAATTTCACCATGGTTTTCGTTGGAAACCAAAATTATTCAGATTACAACATATGGTCTGCTTGATACCTTAAATGTCAGTCAAGGAAGCAACAATAACTGCGTGGTGCCACATTCTAGTGATTGACTGATATGAATAGTCGGATAACATTCATATCAACCAGTCGCAAGAACCGGCAGCACACCTGATGAGCTCTGCCCCAAACGAGCAAGACAACTGTCCGGTGTTTGGATCGTTGTGATCTGGGTAGCAAGCACTACTGGTTGGTGTGAGTGATATACGACTACTCATCTCAATCAATCAGTAGTATGCAAAGTCATCTTAGGCTAAACACTTGAACAAACAGTTGCAACTGTCTCTTATAATTATTTTCCGAATAAACACTAACGTTTGTAAATTTTATTTAGACAACCAAGCGAAAAATCTGGGTTCGACTCGAGTCCAGCTCCCTCCGAAATGTCACCTAGCGGTAAAGACTGAGAGCGACTCTAGCAACTCCGCATGGCAAGAAACGAAATCGCCACTACTGAAACTTCGAGGCTTGAAGTATGATGAAATACTTGAAATGCAAAACAAAATTTACTCTGTAGCTTGCAGACGCTTAATTATGGCCATGAGGAATTAAATAATATAATAAAGCACCAAAAAAAAGAAACTACCTTAGCAGTTTCAATCGCCTTTTTGGGCAAATCGATTCTTGGGAAAGCATACATGGCTCCAGTTATTGGATTACATGAGAAACCTGGTAGTGAGTTTAATGCTTTTGTAGTAAGGTCAGCTTTTTGTTTCAGTTCTTCAAGTACTGCAGATTTTTCTTTCATGAATGAACTGTAGGATGGTTCATCTGGTTTTGGTGGATTCACAACAACATCCATTGTCAGCTAAGAGTTTTGAAGGACAGAAGAAAGAGAATAATTTTCCAAAGTATTTCAATGGAGTAAGAGAGAGCAAAAGTTCTTACCACCTTTTAGTACTAAGTTAGATTGTTTAGTTAATAGTTATAAGGTGTACGTAAGTCTACTGTGTCTTCGTATTTCCTATCACACTTGGCGCTATGATTCACCAATATACGACAATAATAAATTAAATAAGTCACAAATGAAGACAGAATGCTGGAGTACGTTTAGGCTGTAAGGCACAAACACGTTTCCCACCAAGATTTATATATATATATATATATATATATCGTTTTGTTTTTCATTCATTGGGAAATACAAAAACCTTTATTATAATGAATACGCAATGCTCAAATCTTTTCAAACTGTTAAAAGTGAACTTGGTTTGGACAAGCCTATTTATCCACTGCTGTGATTCAATAAGTCTCTAGATCGATTGAAATACATGGTTGACATTTAGTCACAAGGTTTCTCTTCTTAATTATAAACTAACTTTGAACGACATGTTTTCTAAGTCATTCAAGAGATAGGATTATGAGCGAACTAGTATTTGGACACATTTGTTCTAATATATTTGAATAGTCTAACAGCATGTCGGTTAATTTCAGTCTAATTATATATCTCAACGTCATTAGGAAGTCTAGTTTTGTTTCGGTGAATTTACAAAGAAATATCATATTGGGATTTGGAGAAGTCCTACAAGTACAAGACAGACAACTTTTCGCGTCTTAGATTTAACTTCTTGTCACTTGCAGGATAGATGACATGATATAGGAGATAGTATTTTCAGTAGCATAGATACACATGAATCTCATCTAATACAACGCCCTTGTAACACAATTTCAGTCTAGGCTTTTCAGATGTGAAAAGTCTCAAAACTAAAAGTGATAATTAATAGAAAGGGATTTTAAAAAAAAGATTAGTTCAACGGAAATTGTTTCTGTAACCAAATTAGCTTATTTAGAAGTTGACAACATATAGAAAATGTGAGCTTATGTAGTACAATTTCTCAGATGTGAATCTGCACAATTTTAGACATTTATTTCATGATGAGAATATAGAACAAGGAACAAATGTTAATAAAGCAGAAGTTAATGAATTCATTAAATTTCGGTAGAAATCATCATTTGAATACTCCACATACTATGATATGTATACTATTAGAAATACATAGAGAGATATATAACTGATAAGTAAATAAACTACAATGGATCAATCGTGCGAAAAGGCAGGTGCGAATGTATTACAGCTCAGGTTGCGATAGATAAGAAGGAAGGGGTATAAGAGGAGACTAAAGATAATAATGGATCACGATGGGGTTACATTACTTATATAAACGATTAGTTATCAGACATAGAAATTGAAAATGTCTGGAATTGCAAACTGAATATTAATAATGAGTTAACATAATGGTACTGACAAAAGATAGTTTTAAATGAGTCAAGAATGCTGAAAATAGATGGAATAAAGTATTATTAATAATAACAGTTAATAATTAAAAGATATTGCTATGGTAGAACCAAAGCGACCACCATTTCCATCTTTATACATGAACCGGGGCTTATTAACTGTAATTGCACAAGCTGCCGCAAATGCAAGCACTTTTTTGTTAACAGTGAATGACATGACAGCGTCAGTATCTAGTCGGTAGCCTATAACATGCTTTGTTACTCAAGTTTTTGATACATTGATGTCGACTTTTTACACCACTTGCACAAACACCCCACCATATTAGTAGACAATCACCTTTCCGTACGATCTAATGTATTCACTTTCACAAGTACACTCAAACTCATATATGCAGTTGGAAATCTTGTAGATTGGTCACCGATCTTTTCCAGTTTTTTCGAAGATCACGCTTGGTGGTGTTAAGGAAGACAAGCCTTGCAGAATTTGTTTTAAATCTCCACAATAATGAAAGTGCATATTTTAGTATAGGTCTTTGAAAATGCCAGGAACTGTCTCAGGTTATTCAAACAGCATACTTCAGACAAACAGTACTGATGAAAATGATAACTTATTTAGAAAATGTTGACAGTAAGAATGAGGCTAAAAAGATAAGGATATCCTGTAGAGATGTAAAATGTCCCTGTGAATTGATACTCTTTGTATGTTATCTGATTGCTTTATTGAATATATACTTATTCTTAGTGAAGAAATAATAATCTTTGTTTTGAGAATCTGATCCAGTCTTGGGATTACAACAGAGTGTAGATGTGGCTAATTGGCTTAAGCAGTTGACTGCATCCCAGTTTCGAATCTCACTCCACCTGCTTCAGTCTGGCCGACCGAATAATGTAGTCATCAGTTAAAAAAAGAATTGCACCAGAAAAACCCGTTCCACATAACTGAGTCCTAACTAACTTTGGTTCGTTTAATTATTTTGTAAAACATAGGTAAGCGTAACATCATTATTAGATAGACACAGGTGAGTGCCTATTTTCAATTTCTTATATTCTTAAGGCTTGATACTTATAAAAAGACAGTTGTGTTTTTATTCAACACCCAGTGCAAGGCATAAATAAAATTTTATTTGAGAAAGGTAGTGACGAAACTGTGCATGAAAGAGCGAATCATAGTTAGTGATTTCCCCAGTTCACGTAATTCACACAAATTAATCTGTCTACCCTGGAAATGCTAAATTCAGCCCATTCATATCAAATTGTCATTTAGACACAGTTAACTTAATTCTTCTGTGCCTTTGTTAATTTATCGTGCTACTTCCTTATAACACTTCCGAGTTTTATTATGTAATGCATAATGCAATGATAATAGTGTCAATCAAGATTAGCCATTCCTTAAATATAAACTAAAATTATCCAGTTTGGCCTATTGTATTCACGTGACTTTTTGTGACTCATTTGTGCACAACTCTTCCTACTGTCAAAGGTCACACACACACACCAAACAACCATATATGCAGTATTCTTTTATTTATATAAACACATCTCAGTTAAGCAACTATTAGTTTATATTTAAAACTAATCTCTAATTATTTTCATCAACCATTTTACCAGTTTGGTTGAATTAAAACCTACACTGTTTACTGCATGGCAAATATCAAGAATTCCACCTATTGAAAAATGTCATCATAGGGATTGTGCAAAGCCTCTAGCTAGCTACCTCTGGTGATGTTGATTGTTTTGTAGTCCACACAGCTCAGCGATGCCGTGCTTTAAAGATAGGCAGTATTTCAGTTACACAAGGACGGAACACTCCAAAACACATCTTTCAGTGTTTGTATAACACCCTTGCTAACAGTCCTACTTACTACACTGTAAGCAATTATTTGAATTTTCTTCAGCATAATTGAAAGCATGGAATCAGTTCATTTATTAACCACAGAGCACAAAAATTCAGTTTTACCTTCTTAATATATTGTATCTAGGATGGGATAGGATGACAGTTTTAAAATCTAATGTCATAGGGTGGAGGGAAAGATTGAAAACAGAAGCTTTATTTATCGAATCAACTACAAATGCATGTAATAGGAATGATTCAACACCTGTCTCAGATATCTGGAAAATTCTACTACCTCTACCACGACAAATAGGAGAAGACAAAGAAAACTATAAAACTCAAGTTTCAAAGTCGTGTGATTACAATTGATATGATTATGAACAATAAATTTTGTTCAAAACGTCATCCAGTAAATAATACTGTTTCACTATGTGATACATCTAATAGACAGTAATATGAAATTGCATTGTATCTAGAATTTTCTACTCTTGTAACTTTTCCAAACAGTGGTCATTATCAATTCTACGGTGGCTAAAATTTATTTTGATAAAATCTCACAGTGTTATACAGTAATGTTTACTGATAGCGTTTCGAGAACAATTTATTACTGCTCATAATCATATCAAGGTATTCATACAACTTTCTAACTTCATTTATATAATTCCATTATTTTTCATCGCTTGACTTGATTGGTAGTAGTATCTTCCATATTTCCGATATGAGTGATGAGTCATTCCTATTGCATGAACTGGGTGTAGACTCGATGAACAAGGATTCAGTAATTAATCTCTCTTTCCACCTACCTAGATTAATTTTTAGGATTTTAACTCTCTCCCAACCTATTGTGTGGTTGTGTGTTAATGCATGCATTGCAATTGCTGAGTATTTTTGCGGAATTACTTATCATCTTTTAATAATAATAATAATAATTTGCTTTATTCCAAAATAGTAATTGTGATACAGAATGGAAATGTCAGCATTTTACTACAATATTGCATCCAGTTAGTACATAATCAATAAATAAAATTCTACATAGATTAAGGAAGAATTAGAATGATTGACCCCGCGAAGATAAGCGATTTAGAAAAAATACTCAGCAACTGCGCTGCATGCATTAACACACAACCACATAATAGGATGGAAGAGAATTAAAATTCTAAAAAGTAATATAGGTATGTGAATATAGAGGTTGATTACTGAATCTTTGTTCATAGGATCCACACTCAACACGTGCAATAGGAGTGATGCATCACTCATACCAGAAATATCGAAAATACTACTACCAATCAAATCAAGAGATGAGAAATACTGGAACCTTTAAATATTCCCATTTATAATATTAGAACAAGAAATATAAGCGAACAATATTGATTTCAATTAGATCTTCTTCAGGCTTTACTCTAATTTACATAGACTTATATATAAATTTTTTTTAACCAATGACTGTGATTTTGTGGATCAAAAAATAATAATAATGTGGTAAATGTTATGAACGAAATTAATAACGATGATTATAATGATAACAAAATATTGATAATAAGGTTTATGCAGGTGATAAGAATAACAAAGGTAGCATATGTATATATGTAGACAATTCAATAAATAAATAAGGTCAAATCTTAAAAGGTGAAGTGGACATATAATCAGAGTTTAAATAAACATCATAAAAGTACGAAGGAGATGGATGATAAGAAAGGGTGGGGAGGTTTTGAATAGAATTCACCTAGGCCAAGGGAGAGACAAAGGTAGAACAAACTTCTTTTGTATGTAAAGACTAGGATTATTCTCTCGAATTCGCATAGCTTCGGCTAAGTGTAAAAGACGGGTTCTGATTCCGTTCGAAAGACTCGATGGAATGCGATGGATAACTTTGAAGGCACTATTTTTGTCCATTTGGTGACCGCTATCAATAAAATGAGCCAAAATAGAACTTCGTATGGATTTTATTTGACCATTTTCCGGACCATTAAGGAAGATGCTCATTAATGCGTTTGTTAAGCTGTCTAGTTGTTCGCCCTATATAGCTGTCTCCACAGGAGCAACTAGATGTATAGATACACATCGAAGTGGCACAGCTAGGTAGCTAATCTTTCACTTGAGCAATTAAAACTGGTCGGCTGGAAAATGACAAACAAAGGGTGGCGGCAGTATAAGTCTGTTTTATCACTCTCGATAATCTCAGATGTAATACTTCGCTAGCCACGTCCCCATTAAATTGCAGTTTCATGAACAGTTGTTTCTTCTTAACTGTTGTCAGTTTTTTCTTTATTGTACCTGATGTTCACGTGTCTTCTTACAAATATACTAGGATAATTCATTTGGACCAACGTATTTTGGATGTATCCTAGCTTATTTTCTAGGGAGTCATCTGTACAGATAAGTCTTGCTCTTTTCATGAGGCATCTGACCAAAGTGATTTTGTATCGGATTGGTACAAAACTGAGGAAATGTGTATATTGTCCTACAAATGTAGGTGACCGTTTAACCACTAAGTTGAAAACCAATGGCCCATGAGTTCTAACATCTATCAATATATGTGATATAACGCAACCACCAAGCAACGAAGGTTAGTCTTCTGTTCATCAGGGACCAGCTTTGAGGTGAATTTTCTGAAGTTCGAGTTTAAAGGCACACTTTGTCACGAACCAAAATAAGAATTAGTGAAGGTGGGGAAGATCAAACAGTTATCACATTCCATTAGTGCATATCCACGTCATCATGAAAGTTCGAACTTAGCTTAGTCAGACTACGAGGTGAGTACGTGACCATTTAACCACTAAGTTGGAAACCAATACTGGAATCACATAAATGAAGTTGGAAAGTTGTGTAACTTGATATAATTATCAGCAATAAATTGAGCTTGAAATGTCATCAGTAAATATTACTGTATAACACTGTGAGACTTCATCAAAATAAAGTTTACCCATAATGGAATTATACTCTACCACAGTGCACAAGTTCTGTTCTTACACCAACAGTCACAATCAATATTGTGAACATACATACAATTAAAATGACTTCATTGTTTAGCAAGATGCTATATTACTACTGATTGATATGAACAGGTGGAAGCTGCTAGTCGCCAGGCAGAGACGATCTAAACATTGGATAGTATTCTCAGTTGGCCTCAGCCTAGATAATCAGTTCATAGCACCCGAATTCTCACTAGTTATTAAGACGAAGAAAATTCGTCATAATTCGCAGTGAAAATCCGTGTTCTCCTGCGCGACTCTAATATATTCAGATTAACAAGGTGATTTATGCTCCTATTTGACATAAGCAGTTAAAACCCACTTATGTCAAACAGTATTGTTAGTTATTTAGATCATATTTATGCCCCGGTTTGTTTAATTTGCAAATAATAAATTTAATTCAACTTGACTATTTGTCAAACTTATTACATTTTCGTAAAAACTTATTACATATAAATATACCTGAATTTTACTGTAATTTGTACAACCATTTTTAAGTTCACAATGTTCTGAGTTTCATAGTTTATAGACTTTCGAATCACTTCATCACCTGATTGTTAAATGAGAGGACTTTTTAGTTCCAACAAATACGTGAATCCACTATAAACACGCAGTGATTGAATATCAAGATTATGTAAACATTTGATTTTTTTAAACAATGATTACTGTTATAGTTCGAAATTCAAATAGTACACAAGTTGTAAAGTGTTTCGAATATCTTTGTAGCGAAAAATAAATGAAACTATAGAATATAATAACTAACTGTCGAAAAAATGTAAATTAACTTCTGTTGTTTCTGTGATCTGTACCAAAATTTTCTGCAAAGCATGTGAATACATTTATTCAATCCAGTTAATAATTTAAAACACCCACAAACCATTATTATATCACCATGTAGTACATTCCACTACTCATGCAATCATATATGTGAACTTTTGAATACCTTGACTAGTTTAAAGGCGCACTTTGTCACGAACCAAAATAAGAATTAGTGAAGGTGGGGAAGATCAAACAGTTATCACATTCCATTAGTGCATATCCATGTCATCATGAAAGTTCGAACTTAGCTTAGTCAGACTACGAGGTGAGTACGTGACCGTTTAACCACTAAGTTGAAAACCAATGGTCCACAAGTTCCAACATCTATCAATATATGTGATATAACACAACCACCAAGCAACGAAGGTTAGTCTTCTGTTCATCAGGGACCAGCTTTGAGGGGAATTTTCTGAAGTTCTAATGAGAAGTCATAACCGGAATGGCCTGCTAAATTACGTATGAGAATGAATGATGCTAAGTCACAAATTAGTAGAAGTTAGGATTTATTGAGCATTGATATCCAACCCAGTGACTGAATGGTAATGTGATTCTCTCAGAACCTGACAGTCCTGGGTTAAATGCACCATTTTGTCATTGGTGCATATAGCTGAAGGCTAAAACGACTGCTCTGGTCTATGGTATTCATTGACTTTCTTACTTGTGTATTTATTTCATAACAACTTTGTATCAGGCTGGAATTCAGCAGGAAATCTATAGCTGCCTTGAGTTACTGAGATATTATTCATACACGAGAGATTTCGGCGTGGATTTCATGACTTGTGAATAAATGCATAAGACAAATTCAAGCACAAAAGTGAAATGAGTAAGACAGAAGATAACCATGACTGACAGTCAGCTGTATGCCTTTAAGATAACCCAATAATAGGCATTATTCTGAATGCAGCAAACCTGGCTGGATTTTCAATGCTAATGATGACTTGATTTCACTTGATTTTCATGATTTTCTAAACTTCACCTGGAATTGGAGTCTGCGCTACTGATATACTATTGAGAAATACATAATAATGTAGAATAATTCTCATAGGTTATTTACTTTAGTAGGATAAATTCCCCCTCCCATCACTCGATGAGATAATTGGGCTTCAGAAGTGCAGAGTTCAAACTATCAGATTTCACAATGCACCTCTGGAGCTTTGAAAATTGGTTTACGAAGGCTTAGCTCTCAACCAGGTATTCAGTTCACTCAACCAAAAAGAGGTATTGATATAGAAGCTGGAGTGTACTAGGCGGTTGCTTTCACTAATCCCCTATGACACTGAAATCAACAGCATACATCTATCTATCAGTTTACAAAACACATGACTTTCGATATATAAGTTTAAATAAAGTTGCATCTTTACTATTTATCATATTACAATCAGGTGATCTGTACATGCATATGTTTCACTTGATGTTAATACTAATTTGTGATTGCAATGGCACAATTTTTTTCTGGACACTAAATAGTTACTTAAAGACATGTTTATCTCTTAAATAAAGACCATTCCAGCAAAAAAAATATTATCAACTTATTTTCACTTCAATTTATGATTCGACTATAGCACCAGTGAGCTTATTTGCAGAAGATGCGAGTCAACGTGATGATTGTCTCATTCATTAGTCAGAAGAATGAACTTTTAAGACCTTTTATGACGCTGATTTTAATACAATGAATTTCTGTCGTCATATGATCCGTTATCTAAACCTTCTATAACATTAATCCAACAATAAGTTACACAGATATGATAAAATACAAATTATTTACCTGACCCAAAAGCGAAGAACACAGTCGAGCTGAAAGGCATTTATACAATTGCTGTTGAACATCTGCCGGGAAATTCACTAGTTCACAATATCCACCACGAAGACCACACCTAATTGATAAATACAATTAGCATGTATAGACAAATAATAACAAAATAACTACATTTATTTTACTCTGGCTTTATTTATCAGTGATTAGCTTCTATGAGTTGAGAATTAATCATAAATATACTCTACTACGTAAACTGCTTATTTGTTACACTTCTCCGTAAAATATTCGCGTGGTAGGGAAGATTGATAATACACGTACCATTTCATATTTGTGTTGACTAAGCGCAATCAAAATAAACAATCCTTTTACTTCAGAAGTGTTCATACAACTGCTTGCAGTGAACCTCAAGAGTTGCAGTATATATTACATTACCTAATTTAGGTCTTCAAATCAGAGTGCATTTAATTTGCATATTATTTTTCCACAATCTTTGTTGTTACGTTTTAACCAGTAGTGCTACATTACACTCAATCCGTTACGTCCACTATACACTCCACAGTATAAAGTGAACAGACAATTCTGGTCTTTTATTTACATGACATTACTATGCATCCAATCAATAATAACTATAATCACTTTAGTCCGAACAACAATAATAATTATACAGAATGGAATTTTCAGCGTTTTTATACATATTGAAACAATTTAGCTCCTCTCATAAATATGTACATACATAATATTTAAAATAGTAATAATAATATTAATAATGAAATCACTATAAACAGAATGTTGCTGGACTATAAGTAGACAATATCATAGATAATACATGTAATAATAATCTTTGCTTTTACTTTGTAGTTCAGATTACTGATATGAAAAGTTTATAAGTTCTTTTCTGACATCTGACTATTTCTTCGCACAAAACCCGTGCTATATATGGTGGTATGGTAGAATTTTTATATTTAGTTGTATGAGCGTAAATTTATACGACGTTTTTTCTGGTTTTACCCGAAGAGATACAAGGAGAAAGTTGAGAGCAAAGAGGATGTTCAGTATTAGACAAGATAACTTTAGCCAACTGCTTGCGACAATTGAAGTGCCCATTGACATTAATGTCAGTTAGGTGAGTCAGTAGCACACCACTAAGCCTACTTACAGTCTTCAGTGTTCTACATAATATGATAAAGTCATTTTTGAGAAGTTCAGGGAAGAATAGTGGCGAACAGTTAAGGAGAATGAGCAGAATACATGAATTAACAAATTGTAAGCGAAGAGGCTGAGTTATGCCAGCAGACAGTCTCAACTTCTTTATGTAATAAGATAAACGAAAAATTTTCTTAGAAATCAACAGGATGTCAGACATTCAACAGAGATTGGAAGAGAAACTGATAACGAGATGAGAGATATTCGATTAACTCCCCATCACAGGGCCGTCAGTAATACAGAAATCAGGAGACTGAATCTCTAATAATTCAGACCTTTTAAACGCATAAATTTCTGACTTAAGTATGATTTCATATTTTCAGCAAGAATACAGTTACATAATTCTGCTGATTATCGAGACAGGTGAAAAACTTAGTACCACAGTTTCCTGCTGAATGAATTTACCGCAAAACCCCATATATTATAAGAAACTTAGTTAAGTCATATTTTCCCAACAAATAATCAAGTTCAAGTCAAATGTTCTTTAATGCATAAATCTGTTATGATTATATATATATATATATATATATATATATATATATATATATATATATATATATATATATATATATATATATGTCCATGCAGCTTAATTGTTCACCTGATTCAGCACAGGGAAGAGGTTAATTGAAACACACTTTAGTCACATACCATGTATCATTTTAACCTTTGATTTATGATTTTAGTAATATTAATAGTATTACATAGTGTTTTGTATCACATGTATGTATTTAAGTTCATTCATTTAACGCGGAATGAAGCTACAAGCTTCCATTCAAATCCGGAGTAACTAACAGTTGACTTTTAGAAATAACGAAAATTAACAAATAGAATGCCTCTTGGTGCACGTTCGGACTAACGTCAATTAAACTTACCGCTAACACAACATATACATCCTTTGAATTCTCTCAACAGATATTTTACACTATATTTGAAACTTTGCTACTTTATATCACTTTGTTTTTAGAGAATGCCAGTTCTCATGATCCACTGAGACAACGTGGAGCCATTACACTGGTAGTATTAAAAAGTAAACTTACTCTCCCATATAGCCTTTACTACTTGACATAAAGGATGCTAGTTGTAATTCTTTGGCAATTCGTCCACCAATATCGTGTAAAGCACGTTTAAATGAAACAAATCCTCTATTTGGTGCGTAAATATTGTGTTGATAAACTTCATCTGCCAGTACTACCAAATTATGCTTGTAGGCAAATTGTAAAACACTCGTTATAGTTTCTTTTGGAAGTAACTGTCCTGTTGGATTGCCAGGATTGATTACTACCAAAGCTCGAGGAATACATTTATTTTTACACTTCTCCAGAGCTTCTTCTAACTGTTGAACGTTTAAACCCATTCTTTTGACTCATCAAGATTATAGTCAATCTGCGATGAAAATTCAACATAAGTAAGAGAATGTTTTTGTTCTGAAAAAGTCAAGTCTTTCACAAACATTTAAAAATTTACTAGTCTGTAATATGATAATACGAAGTTCATGTATTGTCGCAGTTTGGCATGAAACTTTGTTGATCGAGGTAGACGTATACAAATTCAAATTCGTTAAATATAACAGATCAACGTTGAATTTCACACAGAATTAGTAACTTAAACTTACTATACTTTAAGGAAGTATACAAAACAAAGAAACAGAGGCTACAGTGGACAAAACTGTGCTTATCACAGGAAGAGTCGCTAACCGAAGATTCTCAGAATCTGAGAGACATCAAAAGCATTATTGTACAGGGTCTCAAGCCATATCATTAGGAGTCCGCAATTATTTGCTTTCTGATGACCCCCAGCTAGGAAATTTACACCTTGCGTAACTTATACCAAAAGTCAACAATTTTATGCATTGGTGTCAGGTTTTGTTCTAACCACCCCTAAATGGTTTACACCAACCCGATTAGCTAGCATTGCTTGTCAAAGAAAGCAGGGGGTGCGCCTCAGCTGTTTAATGTTCCATTATGTGGTGTATGCAATGCCGTTTCTGGTCAGCCCAAAACTAAAAACACTTTAATTTGTTGGCCGCCAACACACAGGCATAGATGAATATAAATAATTTCCATCGTTGTTAAGTACTGTTAAAGAAGATCAACAGAAGATTTTATATGAAACCTAATTATGCTTTATCATATATATATATATATGGATCATGAGTACTTGAAATAATGTATAGTTCGAAAGTTATGGGTTTGTTTTGCTGAATAAATTTCATACACTCGGTGAACGAAATGAAATAAAATTGATCTGAATTTTGAATTTTACTATTTAGCATATATGATAGACAATTTCTCATTTGAACGTTTATTTGATTAGTTAATTCACCTCAGTACTATAATCATAAAACTGTAAATATAATGTTTACCTGAAATGACATTTCATTCAACATGCACTTAAATACTGTTTGTTTACTTAAGGAACTAGACCGGATAAAAATTACTTTGGTGTTACACAAGTGAAAGGAGTTGATATACAGTTACTCTCGCCTAACTTACAGTTAACCAAAAAATTCGTGCCAACTTTCTAGTGAGCTTAGGAGTGTTGTCTCACTATACCCAACAATAAAGTTAAAGATTTCATTTATTATTTTTCGAACGTCTAAAGTTTACAAACGGCATAAAGTGCAGTAGTGCATTTCTGAAAGAGTTGATTGTTTGAAGTAGTTTCACCGGTTTAGTGTCATTTCGTAGTCCCCAGGCACGTGAAACATCCGTCGAATCAAATGTAGTTTACAACGAGACCAAGAAGTCTTATCTGAACTACATGATTTGAAGGATATGAGTACAGTTGGAAACAAATTTAGTTTTTTTCTATGTTATATTGTGCATTTAGTCAATCACAAAAGTCAATGAAACTGTTGGAAAACTGTCAATCTTAAAATGGAAAGAAGAATGCAGTAAATTATGTTGGGAAATGATGATTCACTTGATAAACAAATATAAGATTATATCTTACCACAATTTCAACGAAAAGTATCTGAACTAATAAGCCCTAATCGGAATAGGATGCTGGTTATTACCAAAGCAAATAAATAACTCCAATTACAAAATAAATGCATTAGCTACAGTCACATAATACACTAAGGCGACCGTCCAAACAGGAAAAAAAATAACCTTGTTATCTATTATATCAGACTTATTATACATAAAATATCACTCTACGCCCAACCTCAGTATTACTTCTCATATTATAATACTTAACACGAGACATAGAAGGTAAGCATATACAATCAAAGACAGTTAGCCTCTTCACGTTTCCCACTTTCAACAGTCATCTTGCAGCCATAAAAAAGGACTGAGCGAACGGTCGCACACTACATATGTCCTTTGATCAGTAGCCAGATAGTATAGTGCCAGAGATTATGTAAGTTGGTCAATGTTATAAAAGCCTTTTGTATCCATGTCCAGATTTAACCAGCAGTAAGTCGACTAGGGCTGATGCAAATTTTAAAATCAGTGAACTGGTCAACACGCTCAACCACTGCCCACCTTATCTTTAAACTAGGATTCGCCGCAGAGCAGTTCTCCACCATCGTCTTGCATTTGAAAAGGACAAATTTCATGCTAAGAATGCTGATATTTCTGCTCAAGGTACTCAGAAGACACTGCATTTCGTCAGCATATTCATCTGCGTAGACAATTTCATCTGCATAATCTAAGTCGACGAGACTGTTCTTTGGTAACTAGTCAATCAATAAGTCAACAAAGTCAGTTAGGGTCAGGGGAATTGCTCAGTAGTTGAATATTTATGGAATACATCTCACAAGGATATAATCGAGAACTAGACATTCTTAAATGTACTGTTTAACATTTCAGTCTTTAAAATAAAATGGGAGCTCTTAGATTGTAGCAAGATAACAAAATAAGACAAATCAAACACCAACACACTTCACAATAGGATGAAAAGTAAAAATAACCGCGCTAAACTCCCTTCAACAAGTTGATATATATATATATATATATATATATATATATATATATATATATGTAGTTGCTAACACTGAAACTTTACACACCCTGGGTTACCTGATAAGCATTGTATTCAGCATTTGTTGCGGAATAAAGAGGATATTGAGGGATAGGAACCATAACACCAGCACGCCTACAGCCATCCTCCGAAGTAGATATCAGCTGTAAGATAGACTAAAAAATAAAATGAGACTGTACTTCTTGATTCAATTAGACGGCATTCAACATTTTAGGATGAAATACCTACTGATTATAGGTGTAAATAAAAGTGAGTACAGTAAAAATCGCTGATCAATATTCGACCTTTTAACCCATGTTACTTCATTTACAGAGTAGTACTTTGGAATAAATCTAGACACTAACCATTTACATTCCACATATCCTGATGATCAATTAATCATAACTTCTTGGTATTAGTTACTTGTATATCTGTACTGTAATTGTGGTGATAAGTTATGCACTAAATATGTATGTCTCAGCTATTTTGTCCGTCATATAATTGCGGTATTTTAATACCATCTAGTTTGGAATTTCATTATTTTAGCAAAAGACTTAGTGACTCATTAAACAACTTAGCCTCGCAGAAATGTTAGAAAGCCACTGTGATTTATTTGTAATAGGTGAACGTACTATGAAGAATATTTAATTCTATTATCAAGAATCCTTGAACAAGAAATATTTCAATAAATTCTTCCTTTTTAAAGGCAATTCTGAAAAATGGGGTTTTACACAGTGCTACAGTGGGATGACAGATTCATAGGATGTAAATGAATCGCTTAGCCATATAAACAATGTTATGACATGACAGAATTCTAAAAACAGCAATTTTTGACTACCTGTACTTACTTTAACAGCTTCACTAGCCCCGGTAGACAGAAAAATATCTTCAGGATTTGCTTCCAACTGATCACGACATTCTATGTAGTTGGCGACATCTTCTCGGACAATCTGGACGCCTGTGGACTGGCTATAAACTCCTAAGAGATGTTCAAGTATCATATTAATCGAAATGTAGGGAAGCTAATGGTTTTATTTGTACAAGTAATAAGTAAATATTATCTTGTCAAAAACTAACTACGAAAATAAAGTCTATCGGCACATTAAGTTGACAGTTGTAATTTATACCTTGATTTACGAAAAAGTAGAAATTAAATCCAAGTTAAAGTAATCAATAGACTATAATTCACGATGCGACTTACTGTAAATGAGAATTTTTGTTACACTTACCCGAATTTATAAACGGCAGAACTAATATGAACTGATAAATTTAGATAACCGAACAAAATAACACTTAATTCTATACACCTCAAATAGGTAAAAGAAGTACTTTTTCAAGTGTTGGTTTGTAGGGATTTGATTTGTCACAGGATTTCATCATGAGCTGACATCCGTTAAAGAACCAATGGAAAACCTGGGAGCACTTTTAATAGTACTTTTTATTATTTCGCAACTCTGCAGAACCAGTTACTTTGAATACTGAAAGTTGTGCAATCTGCATATTTTTGTTAGTACATATTCATGATTTAGTACTATTCACTTTATTAGTAACTTAAATATCTAGTAATCTGGACACACCCGTCTCTGAAAAATCAAGTGTCACGAAAATTCAAAAACATACCTTTACTACATTTTACAGGTATATGCTTCTCACCGAATGACCATGTTCAAACGCGAAAGTAAGATTTACCAGTCTGAGGATTTAACTCTACACTATGGGTTTAAACTCAACCTCACTCTCGTCAGCCTATTATGAAACGGAAGTGACACGTGTTCTAAAATTAGGTGTGACTAATGTCCCATCATATGTATGCATCTGTACTGAGTTACTGAGTGTGAACTTAAAATATACAGAATGAAAAACATTTAGTTACCTCAACATAATAATTTGCCACGATATTTATCTTAAGTGTCTTAATTCTTCTCCGCTGATCATTGATGAAAAGCGCATTTCTAGGTCCAGGCTTCCGTTACTGATGAAACATCTTGGCGTTTTTAAAAATTCATTTGACTCAAAAATTTAAAACGTTAAACCACCGTTACCAGGATCAAGAAAGCGTTTTGATGAACCACTTTTTTCACTAGAAAAAGAAGTTTAACTAGTTAAAGCAGCCCGAATTTTACACAAAACGAGGATTTTTGTCTTTCCAGCGAAACATTATTCGAAGACTTAAATTTCTATATTCCATATAACTGAAATAGTATTCAGTAAAACTGACAAATTAGGTGTATTTTAATTTGCGAGAGTAAAGTTCATCTCAAGTTTGGTATCACTACAAACCGATATCATCCCAAATCACTGAGAACAAAGGGCACTGAAACATAAATATGAAATCCTACTTAACAATGACATCCAAATCAGTATACTTGACGATGAGTGGAGAGTAAGTAAGTAATATTATTTGGCTGCTCAGACCCCGGGTAGAGCTCAAACAGCAATAATCCACTTAGATGTTCTGATGCCCTTGACCCAAGATTTGGTCATATACCGATATGGTTACTCCCCCTTTCTCCTTGTTAAGGTTTCAATTACATTTTTACATACATCAGTAGATTTACTTGGTGATGCGTAGTAGTCTCATCGACAAACATATCAGCTAAAACAATCACTGAAAACTTGTTGGAAACACACACCTACCTTTGGTTCTCCATCCATCACTGCCACTGATAGAAGTGCACACTTTGAAAGCTGCCTATTTCAGTAACGCGTTGATCTGCTAAGGATTAAACGCATATGAACCATATCTTATCATCTTATTTTTAACAGCATGGTCGGATCACTAGGCAAGCAACTCACCGTTTAACTTCATGTTAAACTAACCGACAGATGCTCGTCATTCACTTTCCTATTAGTAAAGCGGGACACAAAAGAGCTAATTTCAAGATAGACATTAGATACTGCGCCCCCAGTGTAGCCTACGGAACACTGTTACGACTACTACGAGTGTTTTTCACCTTAGATAGTTAATTTTCACATGATATGATTAATCATATACATTTATTAAAGAGCCTAGCTTCCACAACAGCAAAAGTGACAGTTGTACATCCCATTTCAGTCGACAAACTGTATTTATATCATTGTCAGAAGCGACAGATTTAAGCAACCCCTGAGACAGGCTTAAGATAGTCTGAAGTTCTAGCAGGAAATGGCAGTTACCGCGATAGAACAAACCAGTGAGAAATACTGCAGGTATCCATAAGGTCTAATCAGCAAAAGTTTAGGATACACTGAGGAAAGACAATGAACATCTTAATAATAACAAGTGGTTAGAATATGACGATTATACAATCACCTTGATCGAAGCCACACACATCTGTAGTTATAACATTTTTGGTAAATTTTTTCATTCTGAAGCGATAACTTTGTCACAAACAAATCAAACTATCAACCACAGATGACATCGCAAAATGGCTGGCGAATAAAAAATAATGAATTGCTGAACTGGTGCGTTATAGTCATTGATTACTACCGAAAGCCTTAGAGTGATTTTTTTTCTAGTAGTGTCTAGATGTGGAAAGTCCAACCAAGCAATGCTACGAATGGATTTTGTGAAAACAGTAACACTAATAAATTCAAAAATGATCTACAATTTTATGTAACGCGAATACATCTATATCAAAGCAGGAGCTCACCGACACTTCCACCACAACTTTCCAAAAACCGTTTGGCTCTCAGTTTAGCATCGTCAGGCACTAAATTGCTTTCCATAACAGCGGTGTTTGTAGCAGCAGCTAAAACATCACGAATGAACTTTATTGGTTTTTGACCAGAAGCATGACAGTCTCCAATGTTACACCGTATAATTTTGCTGAACCTTTTGTGAGAATCCTGCGTGGTTAGAATAAAGTATTTCAGACAATCACCTCGGCAATCTCTTTTTCTATTTCCGAAGCCCTTTGCACTATCGGGCCACGTACAGCATATTGTAGATTAACAACGTTAGGATTAATTGTGTTGCATGTCATTTTTTGATAGGCTCGTACAGTTGTGTAGACGGCATTTGTAGCATTAGAATACTTCGTACAAATAAAACCAACCATCGTTTTCGGGATACTTTAAAAACCCTCTCTTTATATTTTGCATGAATGACCTAAGTATTCAAGCGAATAAACAAAAAACAATGAAAACTACCAGAAGTTCTGTTTCAGAGTTAAACGTATATTCCAGTTCCACCCATATGTGGCTAGTTATTTCCTTTACCGAACGTAAAGTAAAAACTCACCTGAGCCACATGGAAGCTGGTGAGAACCGTATTTAGATTTAGATTTATTGGTTGAGGATAGAAGGCTTGCAGCCTATGTTAATCCTTTTCTAGTAGATTTCTGTGGTTGTCCAAACCCTTCTTGAACGAATCAGTTGAGGTTGCAGACACCACTTCTTCTGGGAGTCGGTTCCAAGAGTTTATGACTCGATGTGAGAACCAGTACTCAACAGCAATATGATTTCTCCTTGGCTTTTGAACTTTCCTGCTATGTCCTCTAAGGTGTTCCGACCTGGTGGGAAGGAAAAGAGAGAATAGGTCAGGTCCGTAGTCATTATTTAAAATTTTAAACATTGTGATTAAATCTCCTCTCTGCCTACGGTATGACAGTGAGAAGAGATTTAAACTATCTAGTCTTTCCTCGTATGATAAGTTAGCTATGCCGTGAACCATACGTGTTGCCTTCCTTTGAACACTTTCTAGAATGTGTGAATCCCCTTTTAGACACGGACTGGCGGCCTGGATGCAGTTTTCCAGTCTTGACCTAACCAGAGATGTGTATAAGGAGGTGAACATATCTCTGGTAATTCTTGTAAAGGCTCTGCGAATCGCCCATAAGGACCTGAAACTACGTGCAGCCACCGCGCGACAGTGTGCTGTAGTTTTAAGTCGTGGCTAACTATGACACCTAAGTCCAAGTGAGTCTGAACTGATGGAAGTGTTATTCCCTCTAGTTCGTAGGAGCTCGTGCTTGCTTGTCCAATGCGCATGGTTGCACATTTTGCCCCATTGATCGGGAGCATCCATTCAACAGACCACTCCGACAGTTTGTTGAGGTCGTCTTGCAAGGTGAACGTATCACTGTTGCCCTTCAGCTCTCTCCAAATTTTTAAGTCATCTGCGTATAGGACCATAGGGGAGTCGGTGAGCAGAGGTAACTCATTGATATACAGAATAAAAAGGAGAGGACCGAGAACCGTGCCTTGTGGCACTCCGCTACTTACTGCTGTCCAGGAGGAGAGTTTTGAGTTGATCCTAACCCTCTGCCTCCTATCTATGAGGAATTCCCTGAGCCAGTCTAGTAGTCTGCCTTTGATACCAAGACTTTCCAATTTCATGAGTAGTCTTTTGTGAGGTACTTTATCAAAGGCTTTACTGAAGTCTATGAAGACGACGTCAACGGGTCTTCTGTTGTCCTTTGATTTGACCCAGCTTTCTCTTGCAGTCAGGAGATTTGACAGGCATGAGAGGTTCCTCCGGAAGCCATGCTGTGCTCCAGATAACAAGCTGCTATTTTCCAGATAAGCCATGATGCTTTTCTTGATAATTCTTTCCAGTGTCTTGATTAAAGTGCTGGTGAGACTGATAGGCCTGTAATTTGAAGGGCTTTGTCTTGATCCTCCTTTGTGTATGGGGGTTACTATGGCGTCTTTCCAATCACGTGGCAACACTCCATTTAGGAGAGATAGCTTGAAGATCGTGGTCAAGGGGCCGGCTATGTGGGCTGATAGCTCCTTGAGAAGCCTTGGATGAAGACTGTCAGGACCCATTGATTTTCCTGCATCTAGTTTCATTAAGAAGTTGAGCACGATGCCTTGGTCGATGTCAACGGAATCTATCCCATGTTCTTCTGATGCAGCCAGAGCTGATCCTATAGGCAGTGATGACTCCTGAGTGAAGACTTGGGAGAAGTAGTTTGCCATTGCTTCTGCTTTTTCTTGATCTTCTTCGATTGTATCTTTGTCAATAATCAGGTTTGGACACATGGGTGTTTTATTCCTGAATTAAGTACGAGAAATTTTCTTAGTTGTGCCTTTGCATTTTGGGCCAGGTGTGTCTCGAACTTCATCCTTGATTGGCGGATTTCTGCGATAGCTTTATTTCTAGCAGTAGTATATAATTCCCTGGTCTCAGAAGTCTCAAGTGTTGCAAACAGGTTCCAACATTTGCGTTTACGTCTGAGTAACTTACGAATCTCCCGGTTTATCCAAGGGGGGAATGTTTCCGACCCTTTGGAACAGACCAAGGGATGAAGGGTACAGTTACTTGGGCGTAAAGTTGCTTAAATTGGTTCCATGCGGCTTCTACTTGGGACTCTGGATTGATGTACCAGTTTACTGAGTTGGCTGCTGAGACGATCGCATTTATGTCAGCTTTCCAAACGTTTGGTCGAGCTGGGGTTTTGGCCCTTGCTGCCGTTGCTGTGAACTTGAAAGTGAGCACAGCATGGTCACTTCTTCCTAACGGAGGAAGATGTTGTATGAGATCCACATCCTCACCGTGTGAGAACACTAGGTCCAGAGTTGACGAGGAGTGCTGTGAGTCATAGCGCGTGGGCTTAATGATATGTTGGACTAGGGCTAGCGATATACTAGATTCTAGCAGTTTATGATCAAAGGAGTTGACTGAAGATGGAGTTGTTAGGCTCGACCAGTCAACTGTTGGGGCGTTGAAGTCACCGACTACGAGACTTCGACATTTTGAAGTCCAGGAGCCTAGCTTCTCTATTAGGAAGTCGTCTGCACTGCAGTCAGGACTGCGGTACACAGCAATGAGGTCAATGTCTTGGCCTATGCATTTAAGTCTGCAGCGTAGAAGTTCGCACGACTCACTTTCGTGGGCGAGTGCTTCGATACTACGCACGGTTAAGCCTTTCTTGAGGTAGATGACTACGCCCCCTCCTTTGCGGTTTAGTCGGTCTACCCTGTGCACTTCGAAGTTTGGCAGGTTAACTTCGTTGTCAGTGACATCGGGTGTGAGCCATGTCTCTGTGATAATAATTACATCCGGGTTTCCGGTTTCTATCATGTTTGCCAGCTCAGTCCTTTTATTTAACAGGCTGCGGGCGTTTGTGTAGCAGACTGTTAATTCAGATTGGTGCTTCCCCGGCCCACCCACAGAGGTTTCGGGATCATTAAACTGCGAACTCGGACAACCCGAAAACCCTTAATCTTAAGGTTCTTCTCACCGTTCCGGCGTCGCTCACTTAATTCTAGTGCCGCAGCCTGTCTTTTGACACGGTCTGCTAGGCTTAAGTCAGCGCGGACATATATCCCTGATCCTTTGAGAATATGAGAGTTGCTTAGAATAGCATCCCTCTCTGCTTTAGAGTTTAGTACGACTTTGAGGAGACGTACAGGTTCACTTACTGTAGGGTCAGGCTTTTGACCTATTCTGTATACGCTGTGTATAGTAATGCCTGATACTGTTTGTGGCAGTAGCTTGTCTAAAAGGGGCTTGACCAAGTTAAGGTCATGCTCGAATCTGGTCTTAGGGTCGAGGGCCAGTGACTCCTCCACTTTGTGGAGAATGAGAGACCTATCAGAGAGATCGGGTTTGCTTTCCGTGACTTTCTTGCCCTGAGGCGTAAGTGTGTTTCTATCCTTCTTGGGCGGTGTGGCCGAAGTGTTATCCTTATCTCGCTTTTTGCGAGAGACTACGGTGCGCCATTCATTGGCGTCCTCCTCGCTAATCTTAATGGGGTTCGTCTGTCTGCTGCTCACCGGTGTGGATGAGGCTTGTTCCGCCAGTCCCTGGGCGACTGGAGCTGCAGGTTTTCGACCCCTAGTACGCCTCTTCTTCACGGCAGTCTTTCCATTACTGTCACTGGAGGGCTCATCCAGTATCGTGGGGGCGACCTGGGTGTCTGTAATGTGGTGGGTGTTCTTCTGTGCTGTAGAGCACTCACTTATTGGCAAGGTCGCATCTGGGACATGTGCTGTTTTGTCAATGACGCTAGTCACGTCATCGCTATCTGAGCAATAGTCGGTATTCTTCTGTGGTGGAGGACGCTTGCAGTCCATGAGCTTTAAAGCCCCACTAAGAGTAGCTATGGCTTCTGTAATACGGAGTTTAGTTGTACTACAGCAGTCGTTGCACAACCAGTTCGCTAGAGGTTTGCAGCAGCGTTTGTATGCTGCTGGAGTAAGGTTCGTGCACATACTGTGAAACCATCTCTTGCAGTTATCACACTGCATTCCCTCATCCACTGGAAACTGGCACATAGCCCTTCCGCAGCGGTTTCTTTTGATAGGCATTTTATTTAAAACAAACCAGGAAAAGTTAAATACAACTTCAAATATATATATATAACCTTTGTAAATCAGTGATAAAAGCTAATGAGTGCACAAAGATAGATATATGTAGCTATTATGTTATAAGAACACAACTTCCTATAATTAATAGACTCAAATCTGAAACGTAAACTAACTTCGATCAGAATAAACTGATTTAAAGTTAAATCTGTGGACTTTTGAAGCGTATAACACAACAAAATCCAATTATAAACAAGAGCGTGAAAATTAACTCCCTTTTCAAAGTTCGCGCCTTTTATTTGTGATGAGTTAAAAATTGCTGCAGAGGTTATATGTTTCAGGGTGAACTTCGCGTTTGTGCTAATACCTAGATAGAAAGCATATATCAGTATAAATGCAGCTGTGTCTTACTGTTGTTAGCTGAGTTCATCTAGAAAAGGGTATGGAGCTTTCCAATTTTAAAATGAAGTTTCGCAGTTGGAGAATTTCAGTTAGATACTTATTAATTTATTTTGAGCTCAAGTATTTTTACTGGTATTTGTATGTTGTCGGTTTCACTATTTAGGCCATGTTATAATACCTGACCAGTGTGTATTTCCGCACTGACAGTAAGGTGGAGCCCATACATGAGGTATTTCATAATTTTTCATTCACACTATCAAAGAGTTTGCAGTGATATATCGGCAACATATAATGCAATAAAGTCCCAATCATATAAAATTCGTCACGGTATAAACAGAGCTACGAAACTGTGTGTCTTTGAATAATTACATGTGGCCTCTTCTTGAATTCCACTGATCTCTTT